CAGCTTGAACTAAATTTTGAATAACAGAAATGTTTTCCGATTTTTTGAACGATAAAACCACAAAAAGGTCATCAGCAAAAAAACTATCTATCACAGACGACGAAACTGGCGTGTGAAAGTCATTTAGAAATAAAATAAAAAGTAAAGGGCCAAGGATGGGCCCTTCTGGCACCCCCGAGAGAACCGGCGACTGAGAGGAAAGCTCTCGCCAATTTTGACAAACTGAGTGCGCCCTGTAAGATAAGATGTAAACCAGTTAAGAAGACTCCCATCGATACCAAGTAGTCTTAACTTATTTAGTAGAAGGTCAATCGATACACGATCGAACGCTTTTGACAGATCAAAGCTTAACCCTATGCAATGCTCTTTTTCAGGACTTGCCTTATTTAAGCTGCGAAAAAGAAAGTGAGTAACTCTTAGTAAAGCATCTAACGTTGAAGAAAACGGTCTAAATCCAAACTGGATAGCACTTAACAACCTATTGTCGAGAAGAAAAGATAACAGCTGCTTATGAATAATCTTCTCAAGAATCTTACTTACAACGCATAGAAGTGAAATTGGATGATAATTTTCGATAAACGATGAGTCTCCTTTTTTGTATACTGGTGTTATACTGGCTACTTTCCACTGAACTGGAAAAATTCCTGTTGAGATTGAAAGCCTAAATATATGTACTAATTGATTTCCGAGAACTGGTAGGCATAACTGTATAAACTTCAGTGAGAAACCATCCACTCCAACGCTGGCGGTGTTTTTCATAGCCCCTACAACTTTCACCACCTCGGTTAGGTCAACGAGTATATCAGAAATTAATGGACCCACTAAGTTGGGTGCTGTTCTAGAGATAGTGAAAGTATTTTGAACTGACGAATAGCAAGAATTAAAATGGTTGCTAAACATTTCACAAGTCTCTTTTAAAGATGAAGAGGTATGACTAGTTTTGTCCGTAACAAATTGAGGAATGGGTAATTTTCTATTACGAAACTTATTGACAGATTGCCAAAAACGTGTTGGATCTTTGAAAAGAGAAACAATATTCTTAAAATGATTTTTCTTATCTTTCTTAACTGACTTAACCACCTCACTTCTTAAAATTTTAAAAAGAGTGTAATTTGCAGCTATTCTGACAGACTTCCAGCGATCAAAAGCCGTATTTCTTTTGAGCATTTTTAGCCGAGTATCTTTGGAAAGTGTTATGTTGGCTTTTCGGAGTACATTTACGCGCTTAAGTGGGACGTATTTCTCGATACAGGCATCGACATGTGTCTGCCAAATTCTTACACCATCAGAAGGATCAGTAGCATTGTAAAAAGATGGAGAAATAGCTTCTAACATCGAGTACAGTAGTGCTAAATCACATGAAACAAAATCTCGAATATATTTGTGTTTGGTTTGTGGGCGTGTGACAGAAATGTCAAATGAAAAAAATAACGTAAAATGCATTGATTTCCCGATAGGAACCTGATCGAAAACTTTTGGAGCTTTCAAAATAGAAGGATTGAGTAGTTGTTTACTAGATGTGACTATTTCATCAAATCTTCGCTGGGATTTTTATGTAGACAGACTAGTTATTTCGCTTAGACGTCGTCTATGTGCGATGAATAGAATATTCAGAAATGCTCCAGCGGAAATTAAGCTACAAATCTATCGGACGTGCATCATGAGTGCTCTAGACTATGGGTCGATTTTTTACGACAGTTTGTTTACGTCTTTCTATTCTAGGCTAGCTTCTACGCACAGGCTAGCAGCACGGATGATTTTGTGTGACTTTCATTCGAACGGTGATGACCTTCTTCGTAAACTAAAGTTGCCAGACCTTGTCTTCCGTAAACGCTACTTTCGTCTTCTATACTTTTATAAAGTGTTATTCGACATCTCTCCTCTATCTAAATTTTGTATCATTTCTATGCATGATACAAGAGTCAGTCTTCGTCTAAACCAAAATCCTTTCCCAGTGCTTGTTCCTTTCACATCAATGAAAAGTGTACAGGGATCATTCTTTTGTCTAACAGCGGACGAGTGGAACAAACTTCCGCAGCATGTCATTAGCAATCCTGATCCTGCTAACACTTCTAATGCTATTGTTGTTTCTTTACCAGTCTTTAAAGCTCGCCTACGCGCTCATCTCTGTTACTAAATGTAAATGTTTATTGTTCTATTGGATGTTCAAAACGGTTCTTCTAACCTACTTGCTGTTTATTGTACCTTGTCTTTTTTTGTGTGCGTTCATATTTGGAAGGATTTTTGGGAGCAGTATTTACAAGCCGGGAGCTTTTCCTGTTTCCCTGCTTAGATTTAAGCTAAATAAAAATGAAATGAAATTGCTGATCACAAAAATTTCCTTAACTTTGCCTGTTTTTAAAAAGTAAAGTCTTTAACATTTTTTCACCTAAAAAATGTCTCCTGACCCCACATCTAAACTCAAGCATTTTCTAGGTATCCCGATGAGCTGTATCCAACCAACACAAGAAAAGTGAAAAAATGTTTCTACTTTATTTTTTGAATGTTCTTTTTTAAATTTTATACAGACCATTTCCAGTCCAGGAAGTAAGTGTTAGCAGAGAATATGTTGAATCAGTAAAATCGGCTTTGCATAATTAATATTCCAATTGTTATCTCAGGCTTATATACGTCTGTACTTATTCTTAGATTCTAATCAGCTTCATGGTACTCATCAATCAACCACTCTGCCTCAATTAGAACATTAATAAACGCTTTTCTCAGCTCGTCAGAAATTTCATTTACTTTGCTTTTTGCAGAAAAAATAAAGTAAACGAATTATTTACCATTTACGTTTGGAAAAGTAAATGATTTGTGTACGATTTGCCATTTACCTAAAGTAAAGTAGATGATCAATTTGCTATTTTCTTGTCAAAGTAAAGGTAAAGTGGCATTCTTAGAAATCACCAAAAAGTAAATAAGCTCTGTTTTAGAAAAAACTAGTCTGGAAAAGAAAGTTGATGCTGTTTATGAATGTATTCCATTTTGTCCAGCGTATAGAAACAGCTTGCATGTGTAAAGAATTGATTTTTCATTATAAGTTTTATTTGATAAGTATGATGTGGTGTACAAAAAAAGAATGAAACAAAACAGAACAAGAAGAAAGAGGCGAACCCATTATATCTTTTTGTTTTATTGATGTTACATTGTTTACATTGTACAGTAAGAAAGAAAAACGAAAAGATGGAAAAGATGCATCTGAAAGCGAAGAAACGAAGTATGAAGAAAAGCAGGTGCATGAGAGAGTGATGGTATGTCTCAGGAAACAGAAGTGAGATAAGTAGTACTCAGAAACTTGGATACTTTTGATATATTCTACGATTATTTTATGTAGCTGGGTAATTGTAAAGTCATCAATGTTTTCTAGTTTTTCTGATAGTAAGATGTGTTTAAGTGTGAAGGATAGCTTAGGTGCTATAGCCAGTCATTTTTGAACTTAGATCACAAATGACGATAGTGTAAGTATTCCAAGAGAAAGTGCTTAACTGTTTCTGTTTTGCCGCATGCGCAATAGTAATTATTTACTAAGTGCCTACTATGCAAATCAAAATTTAATCGAGAGAATTCAACACGCATTTTAATAAAAAGCATTTCATGCTTTCGGTCAACGTGTTTGAACCGTGGCCATTTGTAATATGGGTGCAGACAATCATTATCTTTGAGCGAAAGCGAGCCAATTTAATAATTTGATCCAATTCAACGGGTAATTCATTCCACTGCCTAACTACCCAGAGAAAGTGTGTTTTTTAATTTTTTTGTCCGAGTATGAAAAATATGAGTTGACCTTTAACCCGAGACCTCAATGACCTAGCAACAGTGGGATAATTTGGTATCCTTTGAGAAAGGAACGATGGTGTGAGCCTATGTGAGGATTTAAGACTTACAACTGCTGCCTGTAATCGGCCAGCATTAGTTATCTCTGTCGATTTTTTATCTGCGTTTGACAAACTTTGGTATCCGGCTTTAATAAAACATTTATATGAGCTTGACATGCCACGTGATCTACTTAAATGGATCTATGGATGGCTTCAGGACCGATCTTTCTCTATTCACTATGGTGATATAATGTCTCGTGTTATAAGAATGCATGTAGGGGCTCCGCAAGGCTCAGTTCTTGCAGCAACATTATTTCGTCTTCATCTTCATTTTTTGCCGCAATGCTTCTTTCAAGCAATATCACACCTTTTTGCAGATGATTTAGCTATTGTTTTAACTGGATCCCTCGAGAAGCGTTTTTCACATAATATCGAGGATCTTGAAAAACGGGCCCAAACTGTGTTAAAAGCATTAGAGAAATTCTCAGACGACAATATTCTACCTGTAAATGTCCCCAAAACGAAAGCGCTCCTTGTTCACAGCGTTGTAGCTCCCAAGAAACCTCAACTCACATACAGCAGGGGTGGCACTTTCCCGTTCCTTTCCCGAGTAACGGTAACGTAGAATCTTTTATTTCAAAAGTAAAGAGTAAAGGCATAATGCCTATCTTTTCTTTCTTAAGAAAAAGGTAAGTGGCACCTTTTCTTCTCCAAAAAAAAGAAAACCAGTATCGTTTCTTTTGCAAGAAAAAAACTTTCTTAACAGGTACAAAGAAAAGTCTTTTTTATGGAAAAAATATATATTGGTTCTATTTTGTTTGGAAAAGAAAAGGTGCCACTTTCCTTTCTCTCAAGAAAGAAAAGATATGTATTATATCTTCACTCTTTTTTGTTGTAAAAAAAAAAGAAAACCTTTTCTTTTGTTAATAAAAGAAAGAGGCGGGAAAGAGAAAGGGGCACCCCTATGTTAGAGACGTTTTCATGCAAAAACAGTTTCAGCTGAGATTCAGCCATTCTTTGTGTTGAACTTGAATCCATGTGAAACAAATGTGTTGACACAACTCGAATTATTATTTAGACTAGCTAATTGCAATGGTGTTAAGTGATCAATGTTTTCCTGATCAAACTGTTTGATGTTAATTGCTTTCTGTTGCAGATATTTAAGAATAAATTCAATTGTCTCACACGATTTGTCGTCTTTTATTGCTAGTAAATGGAATACATTATTTTTCCTCTTATCAGAATCATACACTAGTTCCACGTGTCTTTCTAATACTGTTTCAACTAAATCTTTGTAATTCAACTTTGCTGCTAATAACAACACATTTTCACCGTATTCATTTTGCCGTTTTAACGTATCGATCTTCAAGGCCTTAATCATCTGCTTCGCCAATGTTAAATGGCCATTTATAATAGCTTTTTCTAACAAATTTTTATCGTGTCGATGAATCAATAATCGTGTACATTTAAATAATGATGTAGCATCATTATCTGATATTAAATCATGTAAAGATTCACAGAGATCATGAATAAACTTGTTTTCATTGCTTTTGTTACTTTGTACAGTATCTGAATTGAAAAACTGAAAGACATACGCACATTTCATTAAACAAAAAACAATGATTATTACCTTCGATCATAATTATTGAAAATGTTGTTGTTTCTTTGTGGATTAGAAATGACGGCGGTGATGATGAATTACTATCCAGTTTTTCTGTAATAGTAAACGCTAACTGTAATTTATACAATTCATAATAGCTGATTAGTTCTTTAGGTCCATGGAAAAGTCGTTCATTATTCGTACTAGAACCATCATCTAAATAATACTTTTGATATTATTACTCTACTCGACATATCTTTCATCTAAGAAAGAACTATGTTTTGAGCAATTAATTTTTATTTTAGATCTCTGATCGTCGATTAAATCAGTTTTTTCTATATTTCGTTTCATCTAACAAGCAGTTAGTTAAATCAAAAAATTTACTTATATCAAACGCACGCAATGGACCATATGTTTTCAATTCATTTTGCAATTGTTTGACTAGTATTAACTGATTAAATCTACAAAGTGAAAACATACAGACTCATTTAATTTCATTAAATAAATCATTCCTTTCTTGCATACCGTTTTATTCCATCAGCAATCACATCTACTTCTGTGACTGGAAAATAGAGAGCATTTTGTTGTAGATTCTGAATTATTTCTCCATTCAATGTAGGTGGTACTTCTAACGAGTATGGATGGATATAACGAATATCGTTATTGATATTCAAGACAGTGACGAGACACACACGAACATAAAATTTTTTATTCATATTACACCATGATGATGGAATCTTGAATAAAAATAGAAAATTATAAATTGAAATATAGAATATAAAGTTAGAGACGAAGAATACTTTGATTGTAGGATAACAAAAAGTACCATCTTTTGAACGAATATATCTCAGCGTTCGTTGTTTTTCAACAGCAATATCGGATCGATATCGTGCATGATAGTATTGATCCGGTTGTGCTAGTATTTGAATAGTTTGGAAAGGAGTATGACTCAGATCGACTGTTTCGGCGGATATTTCTTGGTCAATGTTCATATTTTCATCCATGACCTTAACCTGTGAAAAATGCAAATAGATGACAACTATTCATTTGAACATATCCACTTTTGTACTTCTCTAAGAAAGTGTGGAGATATAAGCACCGCGGGAAGTGTCCTAAAAAAAGTGGCCTATGCACAAAATACGTTTTATCTCGAAAACTATTTTTTCTGCTACCGGGTTTCGTTGGACCGCATTACGCCCCCTCTTAAATTTCATCCGATCGAGTTCAAGATTTTCCCAAACGTACTCAAAGTCATATCGCAGAGGTAGATGTGTGAAGATTTTTTGAAGACTTTCCTGGTTAAGTTATAGGGTTTCTAAAACTAAAGAACTTGGCTTTTGAGACGTTTTTCAGTATTTTTCCTATACCTCGACCAGAAAAGGTCTTAAAAAGATTTCCAAAAATCTATCCCGGCGATATGACCTTGAGTATCTCAGGTTAGATTTTGAACTCGATCGGATGAAATCTAAGGGAGGTCGTAATATGGCTCAACGAAAAATCGAGTTTTCTAGCAAACTGGTGAACGGCAATAGTTAAAATCTTGAAATAAAAACAAAAAGATACTCAACTGAGTTTTCGGTTAGTTCTGAAAATATGAAGTCTTAGTGTGCTTTAGTTTTTATTTCATACCATTTTTACGGAAAGCTTAAAAAGAGGGGAGGGGGTGTCCGTAAAATCCTTAGAGTTAGAAAATGTTCAATGTTTTCGTCATTCTTTACCCAAATGAGCTGATTTTTTATCTGAGTATAGTAAGCGGATAGAAGTGTCTATTCATCACAAAACAAACCATTTATGAACATAAAACAAACAAT